GATTGACTCAATAAAATTCTTATAGAAACCACCTTTCACAAAATTGTAAACTATTTCTGGATAATACTAAATATTAAAGTTCAGGCTAGAAGAGATTAATTTTGTAGCTTAAAAATGCTGAGGACGGGGTTACTTGAGAGTTGAGTGTTTTATAGGAAACATTTGCTTATGCTGCTCAATGCCTTCAATCCTTGTTAATCTGTTTTCCTCCTGTTCCCCTCCCCCATCTGCCACAGAAGTTGCCTAAGTACTTACTTTCTAAAGTACAATAACATTGTTGATGAAAATACAACTTTTCCTTTTCATTCTTTTGCCTGATGTCCTTCTGTCTCCCTTTAGAGATACTAGCAAAGTCATCCATAAAGAGCAGCTCAGACACTCTTGAAATCCTACTGTAATGTGACATCCGTTGGTGACAATGTTGCCTCTTGGTCTTGAAGTTGGCATTTGCCTTAGGAGTCTGGGTCTCAGACATCCTTTACTTGTATTACTTTCCGAAGAGATCCCCAAGTTGCTCTGATTTGTACATTGTGAATCGGTTTTTGTTAAGTTCTGAGTTGACTCAGAACAGTTAACAATAATAAAGTAACTTTTCTTGATATCATTTTAACTTTAAATTATACTATGTTGTTAAAGAGTTTGGTCACTTCAGTGTACATTAATCTTTCTAATTTTTCTTTTCTGTTTCAGTTGTAGCAAGTTTAATCATCCTCCATTTGTCTGGGGCAACCAAGAAAGGAACAGGTGTGTTTCTTTGAAAAAAAAATTGCAAGTGGAAGACCTCTAATTACTTGCATTTTCCTATTTTTCCCATATTCTTAATATTCCAGAATATCTGAACATTTTATAGTCTGTATAATTGATTGGTTTCGACTAAGACAACATTTAGAAGTTAATTTACTAATGGATATTATAAGAATGTCCTCTCTATTTTTAGTTTTAGAGAAAATTAGATAATGGCTCTTTTAAATTTCTTTCCTTCTTTTTTTTTTTTTAAACAGAAAAGCAAGCCACCTCCGAAACACAGAGGTCTGTGCAGTGCGGCACTTGGACAAAACATGCGGATGGAGGCATCTTCACCTCGCCCAACTACCCGAGCAAGTACCCTCCTGACCACGAGTGCATCTACATCATAGAAGGTGAGGGGGGCGGCGCCAGAGCTGGAGAGGACACTGGGCCAAGTCTGGCCATCTCCAAGCTTTGGATGGAAAATATGCACCCAGACATTACAAAAATTGGTTTTGGAGACCATACACAGAAATATCTCTGAGTGAATCAACTAGCTGTAAAATCGGGGATCAAGCTAATATTGAAATTATTTCTAATGGTTTATAAACAGATAAACTCTGGGGAAGAAAAAGAAATCAACAACTTAGTTTATTTTGCAGTTGACTTAATTGATTTGGAATTCTAAATTAATGGAATGGACGCATGGTTGGCAAACTATTTCCTAATGTGTAACGCTTTTGGCAACTGGTATTTGATTGGCTTACCAATGATTAGAATAGCCTATATGTTTGTTATTTTTCTCTTTAGTAATATGAAGCACAAAAAACATACTAATGTCAGAAATAAACTTATAATCTTATTTTCCAAACATCAGTCTGAGTAGCAGTTGACTTAGTTTGTGCTAACAAGTGCATTTTCATACTTTTCATGCCAAAGTCTCGATTCCAAATGACGATGCTTCTTTTCATCATTTTTTCCCTAGCTTGAAGGATGAAAAAATGCTGAAAAAGGGATTCACTTCTCTTTGAATGTTTTCCATTTCCATTACCCTTGTGGACACCTCTCTTATTAAGTACAATTTAAAATATATATATGAACATTTCCTCCAGTGACAGAAGTTTTCAATATTATAAGCGTTAATATCTAATAGCCCCAAACTTGCAATCTTTCCAACCACCGCACCACACACACACACACACACACACATCACACACACTCACACATAGAGCTACCTTAATGAAAAGAATGTGTTTGCTCACCATTTACCTGTAAGTGAAGGGCACTTTGATTTGATAGGTCTTTCAAATAAACAAGGTTTTCTGGTCTAACTGATTTAAAAAATTTCATTTAGAAATG